TATGTGTGTGTATGTATACATATACATGTATGTATATGTATGTGTGTGTGTGTGTGTGTATATCTCTCTCTCCATATCCGAATCTTTAAGGGGTAGCAGGGTCACCCCCATCATAAGGGATTTGTTTCAGTAATCACGGATCCCAGTAACTCAGAGTATGACTCAAGAGATCTGAATTGTGAGAGATGCTGTGGCCAGCAGCACCCATTCTCTGTTTCTTCATAACAGAGTCTCCAAGCTGTTGCTGGACACACTGCTGTCCAGCCAGACACCACATCCTGTGGCCCAGTGACTGAGCGGAGGCAACAGGTGAGGCTGGGTCACTCTGTACTAACAGATGACCCCCAGTCAACACTCTGGCCCAGAAGGGACACACCTGGGCAGCACCCCAATGCCTGGGGGACAGAGCCTCCTGCCTACAGAGTGCATCTGCAGCTCCCTGCAGCAGCACAACTGATCACTGCGGAAGCCAGTCAGTGTGGATGGAACTGATGTGGACTGGGGTCATGGTAGCAGGTCTGCAAGCTGAGCTGTGTGCACTGAACTCAGTCCTGCTGGCTCGGCCGGAGTCAGCAAACGTGTGCTGCAGGCAGCAGCGGGAAGAGGGCGATTCGGAAGGCCCAGAGACCATTCCGGGGCCGGCTCCCGAACTCAGCTGGGTTCCAGGCTGATGCACAGAAGGGAGGATTCGTGAAACAGCGACACAGAAGGAGCTGTGGGCTGGGCTGGGCCAGGCCAGCAAAAGAAGGATGCTGAAAACACCATTTCATTACCAAAAGAAAAAAGAAAAGGATGCCAAGGACAGGAAACCCGGGGGGGCTAAGAGATCAGAGGGATGGATCGCTGTCATAGAGAAGTCAGCCAAGGAAGGGCCCATTTTCTGGAAGGAGGTGAGGCGATTCAACACATTGAGGTTTAAGGACTGTGGAAATCACTTTGAAATGTCCACGGAGTATTTAGAAATGCGCATTTGAGCGCTTGTGGAAAGCTCACAAATGAAACGAACGTCCTCCAAGAACTTCCTGAGCAGAACCTGTTCCCAGGTGGAGTCCAGACCTGCCGCAAGCTCCCAGAGGCGCCCCTTCCAGCCGGGTGCCGAGCTCGGGCCTGAGAAAGGACCTGGTGCAGGAGCTGCACCCCACGCCAACAGGCCAGTGAAGGGATCAGCCACACAGAATATTGTTTCCCACGCTTCTGGGGAAAGATGTCACCAAAGCATACTTTTTACCGGAATCTACCACATTCTTTGTTAAGTGAAAACCTGCATACGGGCAGGCTGCTTCTGGTTGGAGAAGTTACTGATTGCACAGAATTCCTTCTCAGGGAAAGGCTTGGATGCTCTTCCAACAGCCCTCGTGTTTATCCATCACACTGCACATCAGTGGCATCAATAATTCTATTCATCTTCCCCACGAAGTCCGCACAAGGGATGAGACTGCCTGACCTGGTGATTTTTAAACACCGAGCCTCCCCTCGGCGCTGAGTCCCCGGTCCCGCACTCACCACAGGTTTCCACCGGCAATTACACCTCCTCTAGGCCAGGAAGCGGCTGGCCATCCGAGCCTAGACCCCTCCTGCAACACCCACTGCGGGACTGTTAAGAGGGTTAGCACAGAACACCTATTTGATGAAGGAGATACAACATAAAGGTAAATCCAGGGGGAGGTATAGCTCAGTGGTAGAGCACATGCCTAGCATGCACAAGGTCCTGGGTTCAATCCCCAGTAACCTCCAGCAAAAAAAAAAAAAGAAAAGTAAATCCATCAACTTGTTAGCTCATCAGTGCCTGCATATGTCCAGCAACTTTATAGGAAAAGGTAAGAGTTCGGATACATAGAACCATGCCCCTCATGATTACTGCAGGAAAGAAAATCTGCATCCTCAACCTTTCAGGAAGCTAAGGCCACAAAAAGAGGCGGTCAGAGTCTTCGTTCAGATAAGGTAGTACGTGTGCTCCCTGACCCCTGGGTATGCACGCTAACCCGGGAGGCCTAGCGAAAGTGTCAGCCCCACCGCAAAACCAAATCCTGTGCTGCCGGCTGGCTTCTCCTTCTCTGTGCTTTTTTTCTCTTTTTCTAAACCATGCTGGTTATTAATACTAATATTTAACTGAAGACTCTTACTGATCAAAAATAAAGTATGAACGAAAAAGGCAAAACTGGGGAGCTGCAGCATTTCTCTTAGTCAAGTATTTGACCAGAGTTTATAACTGGACAGAAAAGTTACTTCCAAATGTGCTGAAATATAAACATTAAAATGAAGCCACCCCCACAATGAAATGTAAAAAGTCTTTAACAAAAAATAGTTTATTGCACAAATTCAAGGAATTCCCAAGCACGCTTGAATTTATATAAAAAAAAATCAACATGCTTTTTAAAGTTACAATCCGTTGTGCGTGGTGACAACCTTTCCCCTGAACGGCTCCAACCCGAGGACTCCCTTTTTGTGAGGACATTGTTAAGAGACACGAATAACTTAAAACCACTGAGTTTTCAAGACCCTCTAAAACATTACCCTCAAGGACCCATCATAACCTGGGACCACCATACCGTGAGACTTGCCTGGAACACGGTGAGTGGACTTGTTTGAATAAGGCTCAGAGGGTCCCACACGCCCCAGCGTCACACACATTGTGGGGTCCAGGACATTTCTCTTTCAGGTACGCTGGTCCCTTTCAATATTAGAAATCTTTACGCACGACATTTAGTTTTTATTAAAAAAAACACTCATGGAAGTGGGAGCTTATGTCGTGGGGACTCTGCAGGCTGTGGCTTCTGCAGTATCGCTGCAACACGAGTCTTTAAACTGAGAGCGTTTAACGAGAACCTTCCTAATGCAGCCTTCCACAGGCTGCCTCCCCCGAGGCCCGTCCTGGTCCTGGACCCCAGGCCAGGATACGAGCCAGTTTCACACGCTGTCAAAAACACTGCCTGTGATACCTTCTAAACAGCAGAACGAAGGCGTGTAAATCTGTAAGACGTGGCATCTATCTGATGTGCCCCATGGAGAAATCAGCGATAACCACATTGCAATAAGTTATCTTTGGGACGTAAGAAAAACACGTAATAATAGCATGAAGTGTCCAAGCCGAGGACGCGACATACAGTATCCATCGTACAGATGAACACCAACACAACGCAATGGTGGGCTTGCCTTTGTAAGTGCTCCAGAGCTGATTGCTGTCTTCCGTGAGCACGTTCCTAATTCCCCCTTCTGCCCACAGCAGAACATTTCCAACGTCACTCACTCAAGAACCTAGTTCTGGGAGGTAGCAGTGCCAGTAAAGTCCCTTGGACATAGAAAACCAAAAAGCCAAAAAAAACCCCTACAAATCAAGAGCAAGTGAGTCAAAAACCCAGCTTCCTCTTTCAAGATGATGTATTGAGGAAGCCTGAACACAAGAGCCCCGGATGGGGAACTGCGACCAGACACACATGAGGCATCGCTGTGGCTGGAAGTGGACAGCCACGCGCTGCCAGAACCAAAGGACGAGGCTGCACCAGGTGACGTGGGAGGACACGGGCACATACACACACACACACAGGCCCCCCCCAAGGGCACACGCACATGGAGGGTGACTCAGCAGAGGAAAACGGGGCCGAGGAACAGAGATTGGCTTTCTCGTGATGGACGTCTTCAGGATTCGTTCATCCTTTCCTAAAAAGAAATGACCGTGACCAGCATTCACGGAAGACCTCAGCAAGCAGTCCGGAAGCCGCTACAGAAGGAGGCTGTGTGTGATTTCTTGGCTCTAAAGATGAAAACAACAGAGTGCAGCCGAAAGAAGTGAGAACATAAATTACACTTTTCTTTCCCCAGGGCACAAAAACAATCTTGTCAAAAATGATTCCAACCTCGGAGGCAAAGAAGGATATATTTATAATGAAGTTTTCAAGTATAATTTCCAAGATTAACCCCGTACCAATGACGTACGTATTTTAGAAGTTCTATTACCTGCTGGGGGAATTTTTTTTTTCAATACCAGATGTCCTTGTGGCTATTGCCACTTTAACCTTAGGACTTAACCTTCTACAGCAGATCGTGAGAGAAGAGGAACGGACTGAAAACACCGCGCTGCTTTCTGCACCGACGAGACTCGGGTGACACAGTGGCAGGAGCGGATCTGGCCTGATCAGTATCACCACAGACGTCATCTTCAGACCAGCAGCCTGTGCGGGGGTCCCACATCCTCCCTCTCTCCTCTGACTCAGAACAGTGACCACTGTTTTAGGGCATCTCAGCAAACTGGGGACAGATGCACAAACCTCGAGTCTCACAGTCAGCCATGCAGTGCCGAGGTGCCCTAGGTGGACCCTCACACACCTGGGAGCTCTGACTTCAAGTTCGGCATCCTGACATCCCGCCCGCCCAGGGGTCGGCCACGGTGAGTGAGGCCACATAGGGCCAAGAGTCAGATAGGTGGACGTCGTGCATGCAGGATGAGGAAAGAATGTCAAAATAAAGTGAAACGGAAATAACAAAGAACTTCTGTCTAAGGATATTTGGTTTTAGGAGGTGAATAAAATAATTACCTTTCTTAAAATATAATTTTCTGTCTGACGTTCCTAAATCCTACACATATATTATTTCCTAACAGCAGATTTTCAGAAAGGCCATCGACAAAAAGACAGTTCAGGTCATTCTTAAATAAGGTGAGCATATACTTTTAAAAGATTAGATTATGATTTTTCAGGATTTCTATGCACATTCTATGGAGGGATGGTATTGAAAATAAAATAAAATAAAATAAAATAAAGACCAAAGGTGCAAATGGAGTCTCACTTCTGCAGGGAGGTAAAACTCTTCCTGAATCAAACAGGACAGCGAGAAACCAGACCCAGAGTATGACGACCCCACCAGTGACCGTCTGAGAACAGCGCCCACTGTCGTCCTAAGAGATCTCCTTCTGCAAGTAACCCCTTGGCTACGTTCAAGACGTCCCTCTGAGATCTAAATGAGGTTTTCAAGATTTGGTCATTTCAGGAGAAAAGCTGGTTGTGATCTGCAAATGACGATTTCTTGACCCCGGGCTCTCGCCCTGCTGTGCTCCTTGTAGAGGCAAACGCAAACCTTAAATCTCATCTTAGAGAAACAGAGAGCGCACAGTCCAATGAGCAACATCGGTACGAGGACATCCCTCTGGGTAGCTACGAACACTCGGGGTGGGGCTGCTGGGCGGTCGCTGTTCCAAGCCCCTCTTCGGAGGCCCTGCCCTGACTGTGTCGCTTCGTGTCCCCTCGGGGGTTGGCGTGATCTCCCGACGGGGCGGGGCTGGCGGGGTCCCCCTGAGTCCATGAGGACAGCGACTCGTGCACAGTGACTGTGTGAGCCTCCATCTGGCGCTGCAGGCTGTCCATCTCCTGCCTGGGGAGACGGGGGAGGCAGAGGAGGGAGCGCGGTCAGGGGAGAGCCGGCAACAACATCATCCCTGCCCTGAGACACAGCAGTCGCCGCGGACTCGCCCCAGCGACCCTGAACGGGACGGCAGCTGGCGCATGCGTGGTGCCTTCTGGGACCAAGGGAACCTCTCTACTTGGACCGGGAAAGTGGTGGGGTCACGGAACGAGAGGGATCCTGGGCAGTTTTCTCGGCACCCTGCAGAGGCCAACTGGCCATGCGGTGCCCCGCACGGGCCTCTGCTTGGGGACAACGTGGGAAAGACAGTCGAGGGTCCGCCCCTCACGGCTTCCAGCCACGGGGTCAAAAGACACAGGGCTCCATCCTCCCAACACTGGCCTCCCGCTGCTGCCTTTCTGAGGGCTCGGCCCTGTGGCTGGAGGCGTCTCAGGTTGTTTGGCCCTGGGCAGCCCCCCCTTAACAAGTGGCTTGAGGAGGGAAGGGTGTAGCTCAAGTGGCAAAGCGCATGCCTAGCATGTGCAAGGTGCTGGGTTCAACCTCCAGTCCCTCCTCTAAAAAATAAACAAACCAACCTAATTACCTCCCCCCAAAAAACAAAACAAGTGGCTTGAGAGGCATGTGATCCTGAACATAGAGCTGCTCAGCTTCTGCTGGGTAGGCAGCGCTGGCAACAGGGAAGCTCCTTCCGGGTTAAAGGTGCCACTTAATCAGAGGGACTCAGTGCCGGGGCCCAGAAGCAGGTCGTACTTGAGCTGCTGCAGGCAGCTGTTGAGGTTCTTGAGGGGCTCCTTGCTGACGGCCGGTGGGGGTCGCAGCAGCTCCTCCAGCAGTGAGGCGGGGACAGGGCAGTCGGGGACCTTCACTGGCGTCACGGGGCTGGAAGAGCTGGCGTCGCCTTTCCGCTCCTTCCTCTGTTTTGAAAAGGGACAGAGTTAGCTGCCCCGTCCCCCAGGAGGCTGCTGGTGGGGCTCCACCACCCCGACTGCTTCCAGAGGTGCCTCCACAGCATCCCTGTGGCCTCAGGAAGGCACATCCCACTAGTTCCAAATCAGCAGACCCAACTATACTTCAATTAACAAAATAAACAAATCAGCAGAGCTGGCCACCGCAGGGGTTCACGAAATGGGGGCTGAATAAAGAGCCACCTTTCTGACGCATGTGACAGACATCCAGGCCTGGCTCCTTGGGCGGACAGGGCTGAAGGCCCCCCAGGTGTGAGCACGACTGTGGGGCTTTCCACAGCCTGGACTCTGAGTTTCCCTAAGAAATTAAGTTACGTTTTCAACTCCTAAGACACCTCCCTACCTAGGACTTCAAACCTTTGCCACAGATACTTAACCAGGCTGAGTAAACCTCTGGATAGGAGCAATTTCTTTGCAAAGTATTTATACGGACCGAGGAGAAAGACAAACGGCGCGTAAACATACAACCTGAGCAGGGCTCATGACAGTGGCTTTCGGGGTCCCTGAGCCCCGAGCCCATGCTGGTAGCTGTCAGGTCCCTGCTAGGCTCACTGAGAGAGCCAGAGGCCCTTGTTAACGCACGCGCTCCACACCCTTGTGTGGCCTGTGAGACGTATTGCAGTAAGACAGCCCTGGAATTGCGGGGGAAAGGCACCAAGGTAGTGATCTGGCCTGGTGTTGCAGAACACTCCCTCATCACCTATTTTCACACAACAGTCGCTCAATGTTGGGTGAGTCAACTCCGTAACTGAATGACCAGGAAACCCGCCAGCCTCCCAGCAACACGTCTACGTGGGCCGCTGACCGTCTTGGCTGCACCACGTCGCAGGTCCAGCTGGAGCTGCTGGTTTTGCTGAAGTAGAGTCTTCATGTTGTTCTTCAGTTCTGACACTTTAGCCTGAAGCGTGAATTTGTCTTTCTGGGTCGTGGACAGGTCTCCCCGCACCATTTCCAGCTCAGCTTTAATGTTCTAAAGGGAGGGAAGTCAGATTTTCAGAAACTGAAAGACTTGAACCACTGCTAAAATCTTCATCTGTAGGTCACCATCCCAAGGGGCGAGTGTCTACAGGATCGCTTTTTACCCGACGCTCCCTCCCCAGCACAGCTCCTCTCCCGGAGCCTGGCCTCCATCTTCTGGCCCAAACGTCAGTGCCTCTGCCCAGGAGCTGGTGGTTTTCCTACATTCTACAGTGAACCCCGAGGTGCCTGTTCATATCCCGAGGTCAGAAGCCTAACTACTCCTAGGACAGAACACAAAGCCGTTCTGATTGCTCCTCAAGCCATCCACCTACAGGGAGGAATCTCAGCAGAGTCGTGGCCCTGATCCTTCTCTCAAGTTGTCAAGACTCTCCACACATTTCTTCCTAGAGATGCTTACCACAGATGCGTGAACTAACGTGTACTGTCTCGGTTTTTGGACTTAATGAGACCCAGTTCCTGGTACACATCACACAGCTCAGCCCAGGCCAGGGCACAGGGTCTCTGATCTCTGCTCAGCACCCTCCAGCGGCCTGGCCTGGCTTCTCTCTGAAACGGGACAATGTCTACAGAAAGGTTTGGTGAGAGTATCCGATCCATCGAGAACGCCTGCACAGCACCGGGACAAGCTTGTGACACGCTGCCCCAGGGCCCTTGCATGCCACACACCTGCCATGACTGCTGTATTGCATCCAATTCCTTTTTACTCTGCTGTTCTGTCAAGTTCAGCTGCTGCTTCAGGGACTGGATTTCTCTCTCCTTCTGATCCACCTCCCATTTGAGATTTTCCATCTAGAAAAGGGAAAAAGTCACGTGAGCAAAAGAATTTTCAAATGGCCTTCTTGCGTTATAAAAGTGCTCTCACAGTATTTCTGTATGTTGCTTAATATCACACTTAGGAAAAACAAATATCCCTTTCCGAGGAGACAGGGAATGAAGCAAAGTGTCGGCCAGCAGAGCCCAGCTCTGTAAGCACATCCACCGCAGGTGGAAAGCTGCCCTGGAGGCTCACCTCTTGGGTTCCCACGGGCTCTTTGCTCAGCTGCTCGTCCAGCTGCTTCTGCAGGAGCTGGAGTTGCGTCCGGGCCTCGGCCAGCTCTGCCTGGAACTGTGCTACTTCCTGGGAATGCTTCCCCTCCTGAATCCTAGCACGAAGAACAAGGAAGAGTGAAGTCACAGTCTTCCCATTCCCTTCCTGCTCTACGATGCGGTCAGTTGAACGCTACATGTCCTGGTGACACTCCTAATGACAGACAATCATGTACAGCTCACCCTGGGCGGGGACTGTTCTGGGAACTCTGCGATGCGCTGTCCTCACTCATCCTCACTGCTCCCCCAGGCCCCCACCGAGGGAAGCTGGGTTGGCGCATTTCACAGATTGTGAAGGGAGGGAAAGTCCCACGGGGACCCATGAGCCTGCAGGGCCCAGCACGTATGCCTGCCCTGAGCAACACGTGGCTTGCCCAGAGGGCGCCTACGGTGAGCCTCGGTGCTCGGTGGTGGGCACAGCCTGCAGGGCTCTCTGTTCTCGGAGGAGGCCCAGCCAGGCAGGGCAGGGGCGCATGGCATCATGGCCTGCGTTTCAGAGTTAAGCTGCGGGCGTCCTGACGCCAGAATTGGATCTATGGCTCCTTAGATTTGCCTCCAGAGCCCTGGCAACTTGCTGAGACACTGGCAGCCTTGATGTGCTGAGTGTTCGAACTGGAGGTGGCAGGGAAGCCCCTTAGGAAGCTCTCCGGTGGCGCTGCCTGGCCCCTGCCCGCTCACACTCACTGGAGCCCGTCGGCCTCTGCCTGCAGCCTCCGCACCGCCTGCTCCTTGGCCTGCAGCTCCTTCTTCACCTCGCTCAGCTCTAAGGTGGCGGCCCTGAAGTGGCGGCGGTTATGGCCCGCTTCCGCCTTGGCAGCAGCAACCTGCGCGGGTAGAGAGCGGCAGCAGCAAGTTCAGAGGCAGAGCCAGGCTGTGCGTGCCTGGGGTGCGAGGAGCGGCCACCCCGCCACCCGCATCCCTGCCGGCCTTGCAGGCTCCCCTTCCAAAGCTTGCAAGTCCCCGTCAGGGACTAAAGCACCAAACATATGCCGGACCCGCAAGCTCGCGCAGCACAGTGCAGGCAACTGCGACTGAACAGAAGGGTCCAGTGTTCTTGGTCTTCCTCGAGCACATCTGCACATTTCTTGTTTATTCACAATTCACGTATTTGGGAGAAATCTACCTTTCCATCAGACCATCTCACTGCAATTAAGCTGATTATTGTCTGTTTACGATATAACTGGCTTTTTCATAGTTAACAGTTTAACTCCAGGTTTTTGAAAAGACAAGCAAATTCTCCAAATATATCAGTGTTTTCCGTTTTCCTTTCCAATAATTTAGTCTTCTCATCTAATTGCACTAGCAAGCACTTCATTTAAAAGAAGTTTCATAAAAATAGTTACAGTATATGACAGATGAATGTAAAAAGAACTCTCAAATGTAAGTGGGAAAAATCCTCCCACGGAAGGTATGAGCAGTGGTTGTACTACTCAGAGGTTCAAGATGGTCTGTCCTTCAGTCTCCATATACTCCATACACTTCAAAGCTGTTTACTAGCACGTGCTACTCCTACAATTGGGACAATTAGCCCAAATGCACTTAGAAAAACGAATACACATTATGCACAATTACCGCCCTTAAAAAAAGAAATCGCAGTCAAATACACTTCATGCCCCCAGCACTCTGAGTTACACATCGCCTAGCTAGAAGTTGTAACTTCTTTAAGCTGCGACTAAACCTAAGAAGTGACACTTGAGCATCTCCCACACCAGAGGCAGGATGCGGGGAGAGAGGTAGGGAGAGCTGCCGGCCCAGCTCAGAGCCATCAGAGGGGAGCAACGCCACCCAGGGACTGAGCGTCAGCTGCAGGTGCGGCAAATGCGGGTCAAAAATCACTCAATAATGGTGTATGTTCAAACATCCTCAACGTATCTTAAAACTAGTTCTATTTCAGAAGACTGTTTCACTGTGTCACCCAGGAAATGAAGAACTGTTTTCTTCTATCTCTACTACATAATTATGGAAAATTTTGAAAGAACGTGCCAACACAGGGGGGAGGGTATAGCTCAGTGGTAGAGTGTGTGCTTAGTGTGCATGAGGTTCCAAGTTCAATCCCCAAATCCCCAGTACCTCCTCCAAGAATACATAAATAAATAAACCTAATTCCCTCCCACCCAAAAAAAGAATTTAAAAAATAAAAAAATTTTTAAATAAGAAAATAAAAAAGAGTGTGCCAAAAAAACCCAGGTCAAAACAAACACCTGTGTGAACATGTGCACGACCAGCGTGCCCCGGGCATCTGTTCCGTGCAGGCACTGGGGTGTGGGGGCGAGGGAGCCGCGGCCCTCGTCCCAGGAAGCTGACATTCTAATGAGGAAAGGGCTCTATGGAACTACAGGCGCAGAGACGGAGAACACGGGGCCCGCTGGCCCGCAGGGTTGCTGGGGCAGGCCTCGCTGCCGGAGGAGCCGCCTGGTGTGCTGGTGGCCAGCTGAGTGTGGCCAGGAACAGCCCGGAACACTGCTCCAAACGCAGAAAACGGCCCAGGGTCTCCAGACTGCTTCTCCTGGTTGCTTTTTTTAACACAAATGGGGTCACCGTCCTGCTCTGCAGCCTGGTGTTCCAACTCCCTCCCTAACGCGCACAGGGAGTCTCCCCTAGCGGGTATAGAGCCGTGTGCAGGCCTTACTCCCGCCTGCCGGCGCCTCGGTTTAAGCTAAGCCCCTCTTCCACTGACGAGCCTGGGGGCTCTCTAGCCTCTCACTGTCACCAGCACCACGATGACACCTCTGTCCTTGGACACGGCAGAAAAGGCGTTCACGCGGTAGGTTCCTGGACGGGAACCTACGTGTCGAGGGTACCAATACTTCAGACATTGGAAAATCACAGCCCTGAAGGCTCTATGAGTTGTAACTTGGACCCGGGCGGGAGCCACGCACCTGCTCCTCCAGGCTATGCGCTGTCGACCTCTCCTTCTGCAGCGCGGCCTGCAGGGCCTGGACCAGCTGCTGCACCCGGCGGTCCTCCTCTTCCTTGCGCTGCAAAACCGCCTGCACCTACGGCACAGGCCACGAGTGGGAGGAGGACAGATGGACGGGCGGACGGCAAGTTCCCAAAGCCTAAGAGCCCTGGGGGAAGGCATGGGCCATGCTGATCGGGGCCACGAGCACGTGGGGGACCTGGCGTTGTGGCGGCACATGACATCACGTGTTGCCAGCAAGGGTACAGCCAGGGCAGGTGCGAGAACTGATTCCATCTCTGGAGACCATCATGTCAAAAACTGCGGTCTCAGCTCATAGGGACCCAAAAGATGCATGTAAGTCAGGGGTTACAAACGCAAACCCCTTCACAGCAAGGCCAGGACCAGGGGCTTGAGACCTCCCCTGATTCCCTGAGCCTCTGTTCCTGCACTTTGGCCCTGCAGGTGGTGATGATGATTCAACACCAACCAGGTGGTTGACACACTCCGAGCGCTGCCTGGCCTGCAAAGTCTCCTTCTGCTTCTAGAAAAAGAGTTTCAATACCTGAAGATTCAGCTGAACTAGGTCTGCTTCCCTCTTGGCCAGAGCTGTTTCCAAGATGCTGTTGTGCTCCCGCAAAGCTGCATTGGACTGTCCCAGGCCCGTCAGCTTCCCTCTCTCATGTTCTAACTCAAGAGCCAACTTCTTATTCGACTCCTCAAGGCGCTTTATCTTCCTCCTAAAGCCTCTGGACTCCTGGAGCTGAAACAAATCAAAGTCACCGTGAAGCCAGGTGGTTACACATCCTGGTTCCCGGAGCTACAGCACACCAGAAACCAAACAGCTAGAGCCAAAGCGCAGCAGCCAGCAGCCAGGGAATGCACCGGATGCAGTGGACCCTCGCTTCACAGCTGGGAAAGCGGCCGCAGCTGCGGCCGCAGTCTATTCCCTTCCCAGACCCCCAGCCAATAGCCCAGCTTTCCCGAGGACCACATACTTCTGGAGAAGCACACCCCAGGTCGGAGCCCAGGTGGGCCCAGAACCGCATGTGACTCAGATGGCACACAGCCCCACAGCTCCCAATGGCCACCTGGGACCCCAGGGAGAGCCCGTGGCAACAGCGCCACGCTGCTCTGTGGGCACCACCTGCCACCACAACTGTCTCTGGGCCCGAGGGCTACGTGGAGTTCTTTTAAAGGCTGAAGCTAGTTTGAGCTCGGTTTCTTCCCTGCCACCAGGGCTTCTACCTGGGAGCAGCAGGGGAGCCACCAGGAATGTGGCCGACGGCCTTACTGAAGGGTGGGGGGCACACAGCGGGCCTGGCTGGAGAGCTGATGGCACCACACGGGTGGGGAGTCTGGCAGCACGGCAGTCAGAGGCCCAGAGCAGCGGCCAGGCGGCGAGGCTGAGCACACAGGCTGGGCTATGACTCGGGGCCCCCTCCCTGCCTCTGAGCTGCGCTCGGGGCCACACAATGGCAGGACCTACCTACCTCGTCCTCCAGCTCCAGCACCTTCTCCCGGTGCTCCTCCAGCTCCTGGCCGGTCATCGCGATGACCTCTTGGAGCTCCCGCTCCAGCATTGTCTTGCTGTGGGCGACGGTCTGCAGCTCCGCCTCCAGGGCCTGGATCCTCTCCTGACGGATGGGAAGGTGAGCCTGGTCACAGGTCTCCCCATGGCCTCCCCCAGCATGTGACCCCACATCACAGAGGCAGAATGAGGCCGCTGACCACGCTCGACAGGCGAGATGCTCTCTGCCAGACTCTCCTCTTCGTTAGTTAACTACGCACAGCAGGCATGCAGGAGTGACTCACAAAGGTACTTTTTCAGTTAAACACTTTGAAAACAGGTGGGAGGGTTTAACTCAAGTGGTAGAGGGCATGCTTAGCAGGCACGAGGTCCTGGGTTCAATACCAGTACCTCCTCTAAAAATAAGTAAACCTAATTACCTCCCTCATCCCCCACCAGAATAAAATAATTAAATAACACAATAAAAAACGAAGAAAGAAATCCACTATTCTACAAATTTGAATCGCAGAAATTCTAAAAATTACTAAAAAAAAAAGCTTTGACAATACAGAATGACTACTCTGTGGCAGGTAAGCTGCAGTATAACCAGGACCACGCTCGTGTGCACGCACAAGTGCACACAGACACGCACACGCTGGCTGCTGTTACGGTGCGGGTGCTGGTCTGAGCACTTCACACGTCTCCTCCACTCACTCAGAAAGCTGGTCCCACCTCATAAGGAGAAAGGAAACTGCAGTTGAATAAGCTGTCCCCCTCCCAATGTTTTCAAAAGTAAGCAGGCGAGAGGGAACACTGAATTGATCTATTTCCGCAAGAGAACACCACGCTATGATACAGCCTCCTCACTTAAATTGAGAGGAGAGAGAAATAGAGAGAAAACACAATTACCAAGCGTAAGCGTGTTATTCACATCGCTGAGTAACAAGTGAACTGCAAATGACCTTCAGCAGAAGTTCACACCCATGAGCAAAAGGGAAAGGCAGTGGTCAGATCCAGGACACTCTGACGGCGACAGTGCGAAATCCAAGAGCTCACGTCTCACAAACACCCCCCAGCACACACACAAGCCAGGAGGACCTGCCGCGCTGCCCCGTCCTCCATCCTAAGACAGACCCCAAGGCCGGAGGTTCCTGCCCCTGAGGTGACAGCAGGAAGAGCAGTTCCAGCACCCCCGCCCCTCACCGTGTGGGGCCCTGGTCCTTCTGAACCCTAGGGCTTCACAGCCACCCCCACCAAAGCCGCCCTCTCTGGCCCCAGGCCCACCCCTGCTCCTGCATGCCGGCTCCCCGGCACTGTCCTCCGCAATGCCACCTCCTGTTTGCTCCCCCGCCACCTCCACTCAGTCTCCGTCTTTTCAGCTGCTGGCACAGCCTCTCCCGGCCTCGCCCTTCCTCCTCACTGCTCCTCGGGGTCCTCCGGACAGGACAGTGACTGGTCTCAGCCAGCTCTCTGTCACATGGAAGTTCCAGTCCAAGTCCCTGACCCAGTGTACTCACTCACCCTCCAGCAGGACCCTCCCTGCCCACCTGCCCTCCCCAGAACCAGCGCAGGGCATACTTGGTACAGGAGCACCCCTTGGCTGGGAGGCCCCTCTCATTCAACACCAGTTTGGAGGTCACCTTTTCAAAAAGCTTTCCTGGATTTTCCAAACACTCACCCCAAACCTTCTCACGCCCCTTGTCCGCTCACAGAAGCTCCTCCCCAGACACCGGGGTGGAGGGGCCTGGCCCAAGCAGGGGAGCCGAGGGGGAGAGAGGGTCCCCACGTCACCGGAATCCCTGTCCATCCGTAACCGTGCGGTGTTTTAAAGAAACACTAGCCCACCCCTCCTTTCCAGGCCCTCTTGGGGCCCAGAGGGGAGACGCCCGTAAGCGCCAGGCCCCTGCGTGAGCCTCTGCGACCGGCCGCAGCAGACAGGCTACCCACGTGCAGAGCCAGGTCGCTGCCGCCGTCAGCCGCCCGGGCTCTCAGCTGGCGCAGCTCGGCCTCAGCGGCCTCCCTGGCCACCAGGGCCTCCTGCAGGCGGCGGCTGAGGATGCCCACGGCGTTCTCGTAGGCCTTATGCTTGGTCTTCATCTCCTTCTGCGCACTGCTCAGGTCTGAGCCCAGCCGCTTCATCCTCTGCTTCTGCTCGGTGATGGCCCTGGGGCGGGCAGACAGAGAAGGAAGTCCTAACTCGCTCCGGCCCTCCCGCGCCGCGCCAAGCAAAGGCGACGTGTGTCTGGCCAGTTCTGCCCTTCTCGGCCTCCAGCTCCCTCCCTGGGGCCCCCCGCTACCACACTGCCCAGGATGGGGTGGGGGGCGGCCCCCGCAGAGCCCGGCCCTGCGCTTACACCCACCCTGCTCCCTCCTGGGGCTGCTTCCCATGTTCTTCCAGAACAGCAGCCAGAGACTCAACTGTCAGGTGCACAGTAAATCAGAACAGAGCCCAGAGGCTCCCCCGATGCGCGTGTGCCCGGGAGGGTGGACACAAGCGCCAACCCTGGTCTCGGAGCCGGGGTGGGGAGGGCGCCGTTGCCACCAGCGCTGATGCGAAAAGTCACACAAAAACAAAAACGAACGGGGACCGCCTGTTAAAGCAGGTGTGGAACCGCCCAGTGACGACAGAATCACTTTGCCAGCTCATCTTTGGCGCTGACATCCCAGGCCAGGGCAAGTGTGAGCAGACCTGGCGAGGGCTGGACAGACAGCGCTCAGGGCCTGGCCTGGCCCCCGCCCGCCACCCACTCCTCCCTCCCACGCCCCGTACTTCGTGGCTTCTTGCTGCAGCTCCTCTATCTGTTTCTTGAGCATCTCGTTGGCCTCCGTAAGAGCAACCATCTGCTCTTTATCCAGCTGCAATGACTTTGAATAAAGGGAGAGAAAGACAAAGTGAGGAGTGCAAAGCCCTCCGGGAAGCCCAGAGGCCGGGACTGGCTTCCCCTCTGAGGGTGCTGACAGAGGACCTTGTCAGAGTGACCACCTTACAGGGGTCAAGAATGCCCTGAGCTGCCTGTGCCAAGACTGCTGCTGGGAACAGGTGGGAAGGACTGGCTAACAGGAAAGGCCCCCTGGACCCCCGACAGAGCCCCCCCCGGCCCCTTCCCTGCTTCTCCCAGCCCTCTCCAGAGCAGCCATGGGCCCTCCTCCTGGCCTCACTTGCTGCCTTTTTCCTTCTGTGCAGTGAGAACCGTCCCAGGACGAGTTTGCCCCTGAAAGCCCTGAGCACCTCAAGGAATGCACGTGTCCTCATAGCTGTGGGTGTCACACCACGCTCCCCCAGGGCCCTCTTCTCCCCTGCACCCTCCTGGCTCTCAGCTGCAGTCTCCAGCCAGTCTGCCTACCTGAACCCTGCCTGGCCCGCTCTGTGGCCTTCTGAAATGTTACATGTAAGACAGAGCCCTCCATCTGCTCCCTGTCCACCGCCCTCCCCAGGTCGGCGGTCTCCCGGTTTCTCATCTCAGGACACACTCCTCAGCCTCGACAGGAACCTGAACTGAGGGTCTCGTCTCAGACCCTGGGGCCGACCCTGCCCCACGATCTCTTATGGGCTCCCACCCCGACGCTCACCTCCCCTCGACCCTGGGGACCCTCAGGTGCACACATCAAAGCCGGTGACCGGCTCCCAGAGCACATACAGCCCAGAGCCCAGCACCACATTGTCCTTGCGCTCCGGGTCCCCCGCCTGCCCCACCAGATGGGAGCTCCGGCAGGGCCTCACTCCAGGCTGCTGGGCTACAGACCTCCCCATGTGTGCCCGCCCCCAGCACGGCCCCAGGCACATCGGCAGGACCTTCTCAGTCAAGTGCTCCCGGACCTGCAAGCGTGTCTCTGCCTCATCGCGCTCCCTCTGCGCAGACTGGAGATGCCCTTCAAGGTCCACCACCTGCTGCCGGGCCTGGGACACTTCCCTCTGCAGGCGCGTGTGCTCCACCTCCACCGACCTCTTCTCCCCCTGAAGTTGGATGAACTCCTGCCTCAGCTCCCTCATCTCCGAGTCCAGCCTCTTCTTTGTGGCCTTCAGCTCACTGATGAGCTGGTCTTTGGAGGTGGCGTCCCGGCGGTAGGCCTCCACCATCACCTGCCGAATAAGACAGTAGCTGTAGCCAGCGCGGGGCGGGGCCTTCCGAGGGTTCTGGGGCCTTAAAGAAAAATGCTCGCTGTGAGTCTAGGCAGAACTTTTGTGGGGCTAAGGATAACACATTTCACCAAATCCAAGACACCACCACAGAGACTTGCCGTGGCTTTATGTACTGGAGCAGGTCTGAGTGACGCCTGGAGCGGCCACAGAGCTGCTGGGACCTTAACTGCCTCACCTGCCCCCTCCAGTGCCCCCCCGGCTTCTGACGGGGACCCCCGCTCACGTCCCAGAGATGAAACCCACCAGCACCTGGTGCGCCCTCGGTCATCCTCCCTGAGCCCCTTGGTGATGCTCTGCACCCCTCCTCCCACAGCAGAGTGGGCCTGACTAACGTGGAGGGCCTCGTCTCAATGCTGGACCGAGGTGTCACTTTTTCAGATATGACAGACAGGACACTGGACCGGTGTGGATGTGACACACGCTCACCCTGACGTGACAGCAGGGCATGGTCCACATAATGCCAACCCCGCTGTGAGAAGGCATCCAACCTCAGAGACACACGAATGGGAGAGTGAGGGGTATCTTAGAATCAAAAAAGGGCCTTCCAAGAACTGGAGTCTGGCTGTTACCTACCCCCTGAATGACTTCCTTCCAGTGAAGTGATTAACCGCACAGGATTTTCTTTTTTTTCCTTTTTTAAAAATTTTAATTTCATGAAGCAGAGCTTAAAACTTTGCCAAACATACAGGACTGTCTTCACGCGCCTGTTTCGCGGGAAGGAAACCAACCCCACGTTTTTACCTTTTGTTGAAGAAACTGTTCCTTTATCTTCTGCGTCTGCTTTTTCAGAGCGGCAGCTTCTTGTTGCAGATGCTCCACCTGCGAGGGACATGCATGCAGACGTCACCCTGACGGCTCCACCTGTGCGCGCCACTGACCTGCCTCGGTGTGTCTCTCCTAGAAGCTGTCCTAGCACCTGTCAATGTGCCCAGACAAATCACAGCCTGCTTCCCAGGAGGAACACACGTTACTGGTCTCCTCCTGTCCTCGACACTCACGAGGGGGATTTGAAGACACAGTCGCTCCCGACACCCACTCCTCTTCCTCCACACCCTGAGCTTTCTTGTTTTGTCTGCGTTTTTTTCCTTAACTTTTAAATTTTGTTTTGTTGGGGAGGCAATTAGGTTTTTACTTATTTTTTTAACGGAGGTGCTGGGGATTGAACCCAGGACCTTGGGCATGTCAGGATGCACGCTCTAGCCCAGAGCTTCACCCACCCACTCTGCATTTCTTAACGTTCGCCTACATCGTCAGGAATGATGGCATGACAGTTTCCCAGTGTTGCCTGCTGGGTCCTGTCCACATGCACCCGGGCCTGCAGAGGCCGTCTCCCTGCCCTCGCCCACTGACACACCACGATCGGCCTGCCCACGCGTCCGGGGGCCACACAGCCGTCAGGCACCCGGGGAGGAAAGAACAGAAGTTCCACATGGCTTTCCCCTGCCCGACTCCACATCACAGGTGGACAGAAACCGGTGTTTTTTAGATTACTTCCAAAGCCCCGAACGTAACTCTGTTTCCTGGTTCTCCGCCATCTACACACCCAGCGGCTCACGCAGGCCCAGAGGCCTGCCACCAGCTGAGCTGCCGTGAGTTCCTTCCCCAGTCGAGCCCTGGGCCCTGCCCTGGATGTGTTCTTCCCCATTTACAAAACAATGAGTTCAAAAAAAGACCAATCAGCATTAATTCCTGTGTGTGTGATTTCGATTCAGAGCAAGCTGATGGCGAAGCGCGTTACCTGGCCGGACTTGATGGCTAACTCTCGTCTCAGCTGCTCTAAAGTTTCTGACGTCTCCTGGGTACCTTCTTCCAGGCGTTTTGCTCCTCTAGCAAACTCCTCCCTGCTGCTCTTGGCTGCTTGCAGAGCCACCTCCAAGACGATCTTCTCGTTCTGCAGGAAATGGATCGCGTCGTCCTTGGAGGCGGCCTCCCCCTGCAGCTCCTCCAGCCTGGCCTGCAGTTCGTCATACTGCATCTGCAGGCCACCCAGGGACTGTTCCCGGGTCTGCAAAGCCTCCTGGGTCGCGGTGAACTGCTTCAACAGGTCCAAATGCTCCTGCTGCAAAGCCTCAAGCTGCTGGTCTCGCTGAAGCAAAGTCACCTTCACCTGGAAGAAAAAGGACCTGGAGTCAACGTGGTTGTGCTGTAAAGAAAACACCACGTTTCCACGTTCAGGTTGGAAATAATCTGGATGGACGCCATGGAGGCAGCCCTCTACGGAAAGCTGGGGGGTGGACGAATGCTAGCAGAAGTGAGCAGCGGCAGGTCTGAGGATGTGACATTAAGACCAGACCAACGGGCAGGCTGGCCCAGGCGAGCAGAGCGGGGAGTCGGCGCAGGGCCATGCGGGTCCCTGCCTGCTCTAAGTGCTGCTCCAGCGTTGCTGCTGAGGCCACCATCTTCTGCAGCTGCTCCTTCTCGTCTTCAAACTCCTCCAGCTTCCTCTGCAGGTCCTCCTCCACCATCGTCTTTGCCTCCTGAATCTGCACAAAGGCAGCCTCCTGGTCCAACATGTCAGCCTGGGCCCGGAAGACAGAGGGGTTTTTTAAAAAGTGGGATAACCTGATGGCTATGGCAGATGCAGCGGGTAAACCCAGTCCCCCCCAGTGACAGCCCTCGTCCAAATCACTGTCCTGTCTGCCACCCACAGACAGAGGGTCCTCAAACAGAACCTCCGTGGCTGCCTCTTAGGTGAGGACAGGTCGCAGCCCCGCTGGGGTGTGGGACATGGCACATTCTCTTTCACAAGATTACTTCTCGATGCCTCTTGGTGAAATGGGAACCCAGGGGCCTTGGGACCTGACTAGGTAGATAAGACCCAATCTAGGTGTTTTCTTAAGGAAAAAACATCAGTTTAGAACTTAAAATCATTCCAGTTCTTTGACACTGAGCCCTTGAAGTGTATGTTTGACTCAAGGATTCTCTCTGATCATCCATGTCATCTGCACGGACAAAGGGGAGGGGCGGAGAAGTGAGGAGGTGGGCGACCACAGCAGTCACAGGACGCCAACCTTCCATGTGACTGGGAAAGGCCAGTGATGTTCTCAGCACATAACTGCCTCACTACTCAGAAAATAATTCACGGAGGCAGCTGGACATGGTCCTGACCCGTCCCCTGGCTGTCGGAGGGCAGAATGGTGGTGCAGGCTGGGCGCTGGGACCAGGCAGGCCCTGAGCCCTCGCTGTCAGAGGGCAGAATGGTGGTGCAGGCTGGGCGCTGGGACCAGGCAGGCTCTGAGGTGGTCTCAGACATATGATGTACTAAACTCCTCCCTCCTCACCCACTTGCTGCCCAGGCACACAGTGGCCCACAGATGAGTCCCAAACTACCCTGACAACTCAGACATGAGGGATGGGATGAGTGTACAGCAAATGTGAGGAACAGAATCCCCATGCCTGACATCACTGCAGGTGGCTCAGGAGAGTATTCTGAGACACATATACGTGTGCGTACAGTATTCACGTTGCTGCGTATGTGGACGTGTTGGTATGGTTTCTTAACCTGGCTCACTGTCACCAAAAAGAAGCCCAAACCCCAAACAACGCGGCCATGCAGCCACCCCAGGAGCAGCACCCACCTCGATGCCCTGGAGCCGGGGCCCAAAACCCCACACAGTGCGGCCGCCCCGGAGCAGCACCCACCTCGATGCCCTGGAGTTGGGCGGCGATTCGCTCCTTCTCCTTGATGGACTTCTGCTGGGTCTCCGTCAGCTGGTGGGACAGGGACACGTTCTCCAGTTTCAGGTGCTCCAGGAGGCCCGCCTGGGTCATCTGTCCAACCTTCAAAGAAAAACACCACAAGGTAGAAAGGTGCTAGGTGCCAAGCACCAAGTACAGACAGCCAGTCTCTGAGGCCACGAGGGTGAAGGTCACTGAAACAGTGCCGGTCCCCAGGAGGGCCGCTCCCCAGGATCCCTCCACGCAGGGCCTCACTGCCCACCCTCACAGCTTCTCCAGGTTCTGTGTGACTAAGAGGGGCTGGTCAACAGCCCAGAAGTCAGTGCTCTTCACCCTGAAGGCCTACACAAATGCTCCCATCAAAGGTGCACCTCCGAGCCCTGAAGGTGGGAGGCCTCATCTGGACGGCAGGGACAGCCAGGGCTGGAATCTGCCCACCCAATGAACAGACCACCTACAGAAGGACACATTTCAGGCCCTGCCTGCTCAGTGCCAGGCTGAACCTGGCCACTTCCAGAAGTGGCACTGGCAATCCAGCCCGGCCATTTCAGACCTCGAGCACACCCCTTCCAGAGCCAACATGAACGCTCCTGGACCTGCAGGTGCCAGATACAACTGGAAGCTGTGAGCACTGGGGTTTCAGGGGAAGCCGCCCAGAGCAAAGGCAGGCGCCGTCTGTCGGGCTTTTACTTCAAGGCAACAAATGAACAGACTACCTTGCATTCTCCCACCTGGGCGGTCCCAGGACACTTCCATGTTATGGGAAAAGAGGGCAAAAATTACTGCACGCCGACTAACGAACACTGAACCTGGGTGCCAGAGGCATTTGACAAAAGCAGGTGTGGTCCTCACGCTGCCACTCCCTTGGACTCTGTCTCTACTTTTGTCTTCCAAAGTTCACTTCTGACTTACGTTAGCACACATAAATCTGGCTTCTTTAAGTATTTTATGCCTCAAATAAATGCATAACTTCAAAATTGCACTGACTTGCGATGGTCTATTCCTAAGCACACTGTAAACAGAACAAATGCTTATCTCTACAAGCATTTGTATGTATGCTTAAAAATATATATACATTTTTTAAAATTTCTTGGGGGGAGGGTGTAGCTCAGTGGTAGAGTGCCCTCTTAGCATGCCCGAGATCCTGGGTTCTATCCCCAGTGCCTCCATTGCAAAAATAAATTAAAACAAACAAACAAACCAACCCAATTATCCTCCCCCTAGCTTAAAAAAATTAATTAAAAAAAACCCTTCTATTTTGTGTATTTGTAGACTTAAGATTTTTTGAAAAAAGAGTATTTGATGGGGTTAGTACTTTCCATCCTCTACTTGAGAAATCAAGTTTTAATTAATCTACAATATTTTACCTGGGGAAAAAAAAGGGTGGGGGAATAAAACTCACAGCACAATTCAGAAAGAAGACATGCTGACTGAGGCACCATCAGCACCCACAGAATTGGTCCTATTAGTCCAAAGCGCTGAGAGCTGGAGCAAAGCGCATTGGAGCAACTTGCCCACCGCTCCTGAATGTCTCCAGAGCACGCTGCGGCCCTGGTCACCCTGCAGACCTGGACTGGCCCCTGCTCTCACTCACACTCAATCAGGGGCCAACGCACTTGCACCCGGGTAAAATGGAAAGGAGAGGAAAATGTCTCCCCGAAATGGAGGAAATGAGTGTTCTCTGGGAAGCTCTGGGGGTCAAGCAGCTGGAGGAAGGAGCAGCTCCACCGGGAAGGTAGCGTGTGCTGTGCTCCGTGCACAGGAGGGATGCAACCCAGGAGGCAGAGGAGCCCGCGTATGGGAGTCTTGAGACCCAGGCAGATACCGATATGACAGCAGGGTTCAAATGATGGAAGGTGCCCTCCAAGGAGGTGGTGAGATGTTCTGTATGCAGGAGGCCCCGGGGGAGGGGGTTTAGAGTTAAAAATGCTCCAGTGGAGCTTAAAACTCCCTGGGTCAGCTGGTCACGGAAGGCGGGCACTAGACAGGACAGGGTATGGGCTAGACAGGTAGTCAGCGGATTTTGAAAACACCCTGTGAAATGTAAAACCAATGTAGGGAAAACCATTCCACAGGAGACGCGACCAGCCGCGTCAGGGGCCCTACCTGGATGTGGGCCATCTCGCCCTGCAGTCTGACCCGGGCCTCCTGGGCCAGGGCAAGCTGCTGCTGGTACCACTGCCGCACATTCTGCAGAGACGAGATTTCGGCCTGGGACGCCTTCAGCTTGCTGGCCAGCGTTGTGCGCTCCAGCTGCACCTGCTGCAGCTGGCTCTGTAAGGCTGTCATCTGTTGTCGCAGGTCGTGCACTGAAAGCAAGAAGCACAGCTGCTCGGACCACCCACACCAGCCGGGAGAGCCAGAGCCTGCACCGACGTTCCGGTCAAAGTCAGAGCAAGAAACACACTAAGCCTTCTCGGTCACAGGAGCGATGCTCTGCAAAGTCGCAGGGGCATGCGACAGTGAGGACCGACCCACAGGTCCTGGGGGAAACACGGGGTTAGGTTCTGGCCACGTTTCATCACATATCATCAATATGTAACCTTGTTTTACCTGTGTTTCTGTTTAAGGAAGACACCTGACTTCCTGTCAGTTCAGTAACACCGAACCGACAGCTGACAGCACTGTAACTTGTGCCTGAACAAAGCCAAACTAACGTGTGTATTTTTCTCCAAAAAGCACATCACAGCCTTCCTGCACTTAGGAGCACCAGGTGGTGTTTGGGGTTAACTGTAAAGAGCGAAATGACCCCCAAAAGCACACAAATGCAGAAAGTGTGGCACCAAGTAGACCACAAAAGGCACCCATCTGTGGTGCAGGTGCTGCACCGCGAAGGCTGAGCCTCACACATCAGGCGACTCCAGCCCTTCCCTGCTCCGCACCGTGTGCCCGAGACCCTGAAGGAGCTGTACTGACCTGGGGAGTCAAGCACATTAGGGAATCTGCAAACATGAGGATCGGACGGGGTCCACACCACTACCGGGTGTGGCCTGTGGCTCTAGCCTTTGGCCTGAAGGCATCCACGAAGCATCCACAAACTCAGGAATGGAATCCTGTTGCTAACTCGGCACTAGAACCCGCTGGTTGGCTGCTACAGTCAACGTTTAGCACTGATGAAGGTGGGGGGAGGGGGGAGGAGACCGGAGATCTCAGACAACCCAAATCACGGTGCAAACAGAACCAAAGACTGAAAGGGAGAATTGCACCAAATACTGAAGAAAGCATTTACAAGTCTGATGACAGTTTCCAAAGATTTAAAAGAAAACAAAACAAACACCATAGGAACCCCGACCCCTGCTCCGAATTCTTGGGGACAGCTGTGGCTCAGGGTTCAGAGTCGTGGGACTCGACATCAGCCTGCACCCCCGTCCACCACGGGGCAGGCCCTCTGCGTGAGGCAGGGGGAGGCTCACCCCGTGCTCAGTGAGGCCCGCGCTGCTGCCTGTTGGGCTCTGGTCAGGCCAGGTCTGGCCACCCAGAGTGACCCAGTGACTCTGGAGGTCAGCTCTTCCTGCTTTTATCACTTTCTTAAGGGACTAGGCATTGTAAAATGCCCAGAGACTAAAAACCACTGGCTGCTTTATTTCCCACTGGCCCTTTCTCCTCCTGGTATCAGGATAAAGCTCCTGTGACAGTTTGCGACTTTCACGTCATCAGATCTGAAAGCCAGCCTCACCAGCCTCCCAGTCAAGACCCCACACTGGCAGATGCAGGTCTTCACAGCAGCCCCTCTGCACCACTCTCACCTCCCAGACACCCAGAGCTCTGGGACAAGACTGTCGCCTGTCCAGCCTGCACTGGGGGAGCAGGGCCTGGGCTGACTGTACACCGCTGGGCTCCCACCATGACTCTCCCCACCCCGACTCCCCGACCTCCCCCTCCCGTCAGCAGACACCATGAGCCTGCAGACGACCCGACCAGGTGCGGAGCATGGACTCTAGGGGTGGAGCACGTGTCCCCAGGACGAGAAGCAGGCGTGAGGGAAGGGCCACATAGGTTCTCCATGCTTGGCCTGCCACCAGGTTCCCTGACTCCCCTGTTCCAGTGGCCTACCATTCCAGGGGTGGTTCCCACAGGGGTCCAGCTAGACCCCAAATCTGAACTTATGTGAGGAAAAATAAAGTCCACAGTCTAAGTGTTGCTTTAAATATTTTAAATAGCATTTGCAATTCTGTGGCATAAGCAGGAGCTCCAGCCCCCAAACAACAATGGCCTGGGAAGGCAGGATGAGGGGGAACGATTACTACTGACAATCCAGCTCTAAGACCCATGGCATCCCCTTGACGTGCGTGCAAAACCAGGAAGATTTCCAGGAGCGCAACCAAAACCAAGGCAAGTGGCCACATCATGTATGAATCGGAGGGACTACAAGCCCCTACGACAAGACATGACAAGAGCTCAGTCCCCAATGCAGAGCGATGCACCCACCCCAGGCCACGGCCCCCAGGCCCCCGAACGGGACCGAGGACAGAGGCAGACGCAGGACCACGCACCTGTGTTGTCCTTGCTGAGGATGCTTCTCTGCATCTCCTCCACTTTGGCCATCAGTCTTTGGTACTGCTCCTCTGCCACCTGCAGGTCGCTGTTGGAGGACGCCAGGCTGGCATTCTTGGCTTCCAGCATGTTCTGCAGGTCGGTCATTGCCTGCTCTAGGTCCCAGCAAGACTGCTTTAAGGTGTCAACCTCCGAGCTGAGTGAGTCCTGCCTCTGCTGGCTGCTGTGGCTGAACTCCACCTGTGCCTGGAGCCTCGTGCTCAGGGCAGCAAGCTGTGCCTGCAGCTCTGCCTTCTCTTTAAGTGCCTGGAAAGATCCCCAAAGAGCCACACTGACTTCCAGAAAAATAAGTCACTTCCACCTCACTTTTCACGCAGGCCAAAACACAGCCAGGGAGACAAAGAAAGGTGTCTGACAGGTGGACTTTGCAGGAAAGCACCATGATTTCCAAAATATGCAGTCACTCCAGCAAGACAGTCATCCCAAGAGACGGGGTTTCTCCGCATAGGCCCAAGAGGCAGGAGGGGTCACTACAGAATCTGCAAAGGGCAGGGCCACCACCCACCCTACAGTCATCCTACTGGGGTCTGCAGAGCAATTCCAAAATGCAGAGAGTGGCAGAATGTCACTCATCGACACCCATCAGGAGAAAACCAACCTCGTAAAGACAAGCGACAAACTCAACACACAGAATAACAAAAACCCAAAGAAAATGCGTGAAATGAGCCAATGCAATGAGGTTAAGATTTTTCCACTAAGAGTAAATTAGTATCTTCATAGACATGCCAGAAAGTTTGGCACCCTTACCAATCCACAAAGATCCTGGTTTAGATGCAAGTGAAGAGCAAATCAAATCCCAAGAGGATAAGAAAGTAAAGCAAAAGTACCCTCAACTATTTACAACAGCCAAGACGTGGAAGCACCTAAATGTCCATGGACAGATGGCTGGATACAGAAGCTGTGGTATGTTTAGACAATGGAATACTACTCAGCCATAAAAAGAGTGAAATGCCATTTGCAGCAACATGGACAGACATGGAGAACATCATTCTAAGTGAAGCCAGAAAAACAAAGAAAAATACCGTATGATACCACTCATACATGGAATCTTAAAAAAAAAAGAAAAGAAAAAAAAGGACACTAATGGACTCATCTACGAAACAGAAACAGACTCGCAGATACAGTAAACAGTCTTATGGTTACCAGGGGAAAGAGAAGGAAGGGAAAAATTTGGGCGTTTGAGACTGCAAATGTTCACCACTATATATAAAAACAGATAAAAAATCAATCTTCTGTATAGCACAGGGAACTACATTCAATATCTTTAATAACCTTTAATGAAAAGGAATATGAAAATGCATCTATGTATGTATACACATGACTGAGACATGATGCTATACACCAGAAACTGACACACTGTAACTGACTATACTTCAATTAAAAAAAAAACCACCTAAATAAAGAGCACACTCAGGTTCTTAGATTGTTTGGGGATCAAATGTAGACAAACTGGAAATGCATCTGACAAGGTCACATTCTAAAGGAGGACAGAAAGCGAAAATAATGTACAACCAAAGTGCACCTTGACACCTCAGTTGTCATCTCTTCAGTCGGGAGTTCTGTGTACGTGGAGTCAGGGGTCTGTGTCCCAGGACTGAGTGCACAGAAAAAGCCACAACACGAGAAGCACACTGAGCAGAGCAAGCTCTTGTGGGTGAGAGCGGCTCCCCTCCCTGGCCCAACAAAGGAACACTCCTGCTGCCTCACTGCCTTGCTGTGCCCTGGGCCGTCTCCTGTTCTCCATGCCAGATGTGGGAAGTGAAAGGCAACTGAACTGATTTACTCTAACTGCGGATGGGAAAACTGAAAATTAAGGGATGGAAAATGATTTTTCAGGTGTATGCTAACCAGAGAAAGCAAAACTCCTATTATAAAAAGAAAAAAGGGGCGGGGGAGGGAGGGTAGAGCTCATGCTTAGCACGCACCAGGTCCTGGGTGCAACCCCCAGCACATCTGTTAAAAATAAATAAATAAATAAGCCTGATTACCTCCCCCTGCCAGAAAACTGTTAAAAATTTTTTTCTTTAAAAAATAAAAAAGTATGGCAACTGTACCAGGCAAGAAACAGGTGAAATCCACCAAAAAGATTTAACTGTATGGATTAACAGCTCAACTAGGAACTATTCCAGGCAGATCCTGAGAGAGAGACACGGAGAAACGGAACCACGCGCAGTCAGAGTGGGAAACCGACACCTCCTCCTCTGGGGCTGACAAATCTAGCAGACAAAAGGTGAGGACATGGGAGGCTCGGCTGCGGCCACTGCTCTGACACAGCGCCTTCCTACAGACATGTGGAAAGCTCTGGCCCCGGCCACCTGGAATGGCACGTTATTTTCAAAGACGTGGGACAGTCACACACACCCATCAAATGTCCCTTACCTGACTAGCCTCTAACGATAAAGCTTCCAGCTGTCCTTCAAGTCTCATCTTCTCCTTAAGAACCTGCAACATTTCATCTTGCGTTTCGGCCACAGAGCTTTCCATGGATGCACTGGAAGAAAAGGCACGAGGGATCAGGGGGTGGGGATGTGACTGTTCTCTCCCCGGAACACTTGTCTACGCCTTCCAGATTCCACACCCTCTGCTCCCCTCCCCCAATTATTAAAAAGTAAACAAGTAAAAAGATTTAGAGGCAGGTCTGCACACATCCTGGAAGACAGGCTCTTTTAACACTGCAGATGGTGACACATTAGATCAAACTCTGTTTCTCAGAAAGCAGCGGGGGCCTGTGCACATGAAACATTAAAGGCGAGGGAGGAGTCCCGGCGGCTGGGGGCGGTGCGGGCGGTGCGGGCGGCGCCGGGCGGCGCCCACCTGCTGCAGATGCTGTCGGCGCGGCTGCGCGTCTCCCCATTGACCTCCTGCCTCCGGTCTTGGTGCTCGGCGGCTGCAGCCTGGAGGACGTCCGCGATGGAGGGGAACTGGCCCAGGGCGCTGGCAGCAATCTCCTGGCCATGGACCACGTAGGGGGCCTCGCGAGCTCCCGCGCTGCGCCCCAGGTGGCCGAGTGCCCCCAGGGCGGAGGCACCGCTGCAGGAGGAGCTGTCGCTCTCATTCCCGTCTGCCTCAGATGCGTTGTCCCCTGTCAGGGCCGCCTCCTCCAGGCGGTCGTCCACCTCGGGGCGCAGGCTGATCTCGGACACCACGGATGCCCCGCTGCTTCGGTTCTGCTTCAGGGAACCCCTGGCAGAGTCTGCAGCCGGGACATCTCCACCAGAATTCCGACTGTCTGAATCTTCAGTTCTGTAATCAGCCAGAGACCGAATTTTGCTTGATTTGGCACTTTTTTTCTCCTTAGGATGTGCCAAGAGCCCTAAGCTGCCCACCTTCGGCCCCCGGGGGACACTGGTGCGCAGGAAGGAATATTCTTTTGTCATAGCCACAGCACTGGCCCTTGGTAAGGTTTCAGGGTTCAACATGAGTTCAGGATCAAGTGTGCTGAAAAGTCTTGTTTTAGTTACAGGCTGAACGGACTGAAAAGGAAACAGAAGTACAATAATTACGTTTAAAATTGACAAGCAGCATTTCGAAATTGCCAGCCAGAAAGGCCGCACCAATCATATAAACAGAGCGCGCCCTCCCACCCCGTGCCCTCACCACAGCAACCCCACCCAGGCCTTGAATCCTTCATGACCTCACTGCCTCCACATGGAGTCCCAGTGCCTGTCTGAGCACACACCTCTCCTGACTCTGACCTGATACCATTTTAAAACATCTATTAATAGAGCAATGCCTTCCTCATCATACCTCCTTTATAAAATTTTCCTGGCTATTCTCCCATATTTCTACTTTTCATAAAAAAAAGAAAAAGAAAAAATTTTCTTCAAGTTAAAAAAGTCTTGCTGAATTAGAACTACCTTAAATTCACAATTACGTAGGGGTACCGAGCTGCTTCCCGGTATTTACTCATACCTGCTTGCAGGCCCCTCAGACAAGGAAGTTAGGTAGTGCTTGTCTAGATTCTAAACCATTTTCGTTACAACTTTAATGCAATTCTTAGATATTCTATCATTTTGTTGGCAGCATAAGTATTATTGTCTCCCACTCATGGTGAAACTTGTTATGAGGATAACTACTGATTTTTCATATTTGTATTTAAACTGACAATTTTCAGCCCTCAATTATTTTAATGTTTTATAATATCTTTATAACTTTATAATAATAGCAAATTTTCAGTTGATCCTCTAGAGGTTTTCCAAAGTGTCACCAACACCTGCAAATAATAATATTTTTCCTCTTTCTCAGTATTTGTATCTCTCATCTCTTTTTCTTACATCCTGTTGGCTAGAACTTCCCAGGTGGGCTTGAACGAGGCTGGGGAGGAAGGAAGGCGGTGCCTCTTGGCGCTGAATCAAGTGACTCTCCCTCACAGATTAATGTTCAGCTCTGTGTTATTCTACAAAGTCGATGCGGTTCCAAAGGGGCCGGGGGGTGAGTGTCTCGAAATGATGCTGAGGTGCAACAAGAAGGATAAACGTGCATGAGCGAGAAAGAGCACGGGGCGTGGGGCGGCAGAGGGACAGGGCCTCCCAGACGCCAGCGCACACGGTGAGGCTGCCGTAAGGAGATCCACTGAGAATCAGAAAAGCCGCAGGCAGGGGAGACACACAACACAGCCCAGAACCCAGCCCAAGGGCAGGCAGGGCTGCAGACATTTAAGAAGCACCGCAGTAAGGCAGCGTTCCGCCCAGCGGGGAAACGACAGACGAGGCAGCAAGCAGCCTGAGAGAACCGACCAGCTGCCCACAGAGGCTCGTTCCCACCTCCCGCCTCTGTCCAGTCAGCTTCACGAAGGAAAAACACAACTCTACTTTTTATACCATCTCTTACTTTTAGTACAACGAGAAAACACTGGTGAATTCATTCACAGCCTTCAAGCAGGGAGATCCTCTTCAATATGACATGAACCCCCAAAGAAGTAACAGCAAAGACTGAAAACTTTGAAACATTCAAAATCGATGTGCAGCAAAAAAATATACAAGAAAGAAAGAAAGAAAGACAAACAGCAGAAAATAAATGAATAATAAATTAAAAAATAGGGGGGAAAATGCCAGAAATCAAAAGATATGGCAAACTGAGAAAAAAATTATTTGCAACAAAGACTGAAAAAGGATCACTTCCTTGTATATAGCACCTACGCAGTAAAAAGATAACCAAGAGGAAAGCGGACAAGGGCTGACAGACACCCAGACAGCCAATATGTAAAGAGTGCCTACTGTTAGGAAGGACTGTTTTTTCCACCTATCAGGGGACAAAAATTCAATCCTGTTACTTCTCACGCTACCAAGGATGAGAAAGCTAACAGTCTTACACGCTGCTCACCAGAACGTAAACCAGTCCAGCCTATTTGGAGGGTGGCATGTATCAAGTGACAAATAGGTAAGATCTTTTACTCAAGAATTTGACGGTGAAGGATTTACCCACAGAAGTACACCAAGACACAAAACGTTCACTGTGGCACTGTTTGCAATTTCAAAAAATTACGAACAGCCTAAATGCCGGTCACTGTGTGTTGGTTACGGCAATGCTGGTCCACACACGGTTACAGAGGATGAGGTCAGTCTCTGTGCTGATGGAGAAGGCGTTCAGGACAGGTCAGTGACAAAGGTCATGTGAAGAACAGTGCAGATGGTTAGTAACAATATGAAAACGAATCCACACATGTATACACACGACTGGGACACCAAGAAACTGACACACTGTAACTGACTATACTTCAATTAAAAAAAAAAAAGGACAGGGCAGACGGGGTGCTTGTCCTGCATACAAATCATCATGGCCTAACGTGACAGCACACGCAGAGCTGTTCTCAGAGCACGTACGAGGCTACAAACACGGGGGCACTTGTACTCAGCGTCTGTATCATTCAGACATGAGGCCTGCAGTACATTTCTCATGCTAAGGAAACAGTCCTAAAGAAAGACCCTTCTACTACTAGTTTGTTTTCGTGTGTTTGCTTCGTATTTCTTGAATCAAAAATTCTGAATTTTATCAGACACCTTATGAGATGATCATGAGTCTTTTCACAGGGACCAACCATTATAATGAGTTCTATCAACAGATTTTGAACTGGGGGGAGGGTAGAGCATATGTTTAGCATGCATGAGGTCCTAGGTTCAATCCCCAGTGCCTCCATTAAAAATAAATAAACCTAATTACCTCCACACCCCACGGAAAAAAAAATACAATTTAAGAAAAAACCAGATTTTGAATTAACTATACTCTTAAAAGAAACCCTCACTCGTCAATCTAATATAGATTAGTCCATAAGTCACCAGGCGCACTGACTGGTCACGATCACAGCAGAGGGGGCACAGCTCTGTGCTCAGACAGGCAGGTTCACATCCCAGCTCGGCCGCTGGCACCGCTGACTCCGGCGGTCACTTCAGCTCTGAGCTCCCCCAGGTTGTGGGGGCACTGACACCCGCCCTGCAGACACTGGTCTGCACTCGGCCTTGGCAGGCCCTGCCCCGAGGGTGTCCAGAGCACCTGGCAGCTGGGCCTGCCTCCCTCAGCGTGGGGGCGGTGGGGCAAGAGGGCCTGTCAGTTGGGCAGAAGGGGTGTGATGAGTGCAGCAGTTTGAGGGAAGTTATTCTACTGAGCCTAAGACTGTTTACATATATGTGTGTATACACACACACACGGTGTTTAAAGATGGGAAATGATGTTGAAGTGCACACTGAACTGACTCGCTGACCGATCGATGTTGGATGACCCGGCAGAGCTAGGGACTTCCAGTGCAAGGCTCTGGGAAGCAGGCAAGCGGACGGGTCTTGGCACACAGACAGACACCGGCAGGTCTGTATCTCAGCTCTGCACTTCACTGCTGAGCGACGTCCGGCAAGTTCCTTGCCCATCCAGCCTCAGGAGGAAGTCCAGGGGGAATGTAACCCAGGGCCTAGCGCACGTCATCGCTGACCACTGACCATCGTTGTGACTCTTCCCGGCAGGCCACAGGGACAGACCCCTAGAGCCCCAGACCAGGTGGGAGCCTCTGTCAGCTGAGCGTCCGTTTACGTGGCCTCCAGAGCAGTGACACCCGCAAAGCCAAGGTTCTCTCTTGGGAAAACCAGCGGCCAGCCCTGATGAGGACTTGTCACTCTAGATCATTCACTGAGGGCGTTTTTTTTAAAAGTAAGCTTAGCTTTAAATCATTTGCAAACTCCCAAGCCCACGGAAAAGTTGAGTGAACAGCAATACCTCCCTTTCCTAGAGTCACTTGATGTGATTTTTTTTTAATCCAGGATTTTTAGTTTTTCCTTTTTTGGGGGGGAGGGGAGGAATTAAGTTTGTTTGTTTGTTTGATTGATTTTTAATGGAGGGACTGGGGTGTACAGCCAGGACCTCGTGCACGCTGCGCACGTGCTTTACCACTGAGCCCTACCTCCCCCTCTTTGATGTGATTTAGAAGACTGCATGCACTAGTGACCCAACGAGTCTTATGAAGAACACTGACTTCAGCCTTGCCTGTGGACACACTTAGCAGACGTGTGTCACCTGGCGTGTGTTCCAACGCTGTCCAGCAGCGCCCGGTAGAAACTGTAGTGCTTATTCAATAAAGGAAACCTCGGACTGGCTGCTCGAGGACTGAGAGCAATTACACCCAAGTATTTGCTGTCTCTGCTTTTCCCACGGGAGACTTAGAAATAAACTACGCTTGTTTCAAGGGAAGAAGGACCAGGCGGGGCGGGAACCCTGTGGAATCTCCCCAAAGGGTGGGAACCACGCGAGAAGAAGGATCTTTCCCAAGAAGCACACAAGCCCTCCCCAGCAGAGAGAAATAACAGCAGATCTGGGAGTTTCGTGTGGCCAACTACTGTTTTCACACATCAGGTTCTCCAGCAGCTCGCTGGGGAGGAGACTCACCCTTTCCTGCTGGTGCTTCACTCTGTACTGTTTGAGCTGCTCTTCCAGCCGTTTCCGAGCCTGAAGTCGGACCTGCTCCTCCTTCTCCAGGGGCAGAGAAGCCTCTGTGGAGCCTGTTGGGGGGAAAAGGCCATTAAGAAACTCATCATGCACCAGGGCACAGAGGACAAATCAGCACAGCAGCTTGGCTGTTGTGTGTTTTATTACCAATATGATTTAGCATCTAAACCACACACAGCTGTCCAGTTTGCAAGGACTTTTCCAGATGGACAGAAGACTGTGGGCCTTGGACACGGGCCCCACCTGGTAGAAGCCCCACCGGCCAAGCACAGGGGCTGTGCTCGCACTACAAGCACGTCACTTCCCACGGGCACCCAGCTGGGAAAGCGGGACACCGGCCACTTGTGCCCTGCAGCAACGAAGGACCTGGGTCTGAAGTGCGTGCCTCGGTAAGCAGGCTCAGGCTCACACCACGTCCCCAACCTCTCCCTGCCATCCTGGACGAACGTGGGACGGAATTACAGCCAATGGTGGGGAAGGCACACGCCTGCCACACCTGCCTTCTCTCTGCCGTGAGACTGGGATGTCACCTGACCCACGGCTCATCCAACTCCTGCAACAGTGAGTCACACTAAGGTTTTGTAAAATCAAGAGAGCACGTACAAGCCATGCTCAGACATTCCTCAGGAAGGAATAAAACTGTTCAGGGACACCTTCAGGACTCCCTGTGGAGCAAAGGCCAAGGAGGCAGCCCTCAGAGGCCTGGGCTGTGCTCCAGGACAGGAGGGGAGCTATCTCCACAACTTTCGGGCTAATAACAGAATTTAAAACACCTAAAACCAAGCCTTTTATTTGGGGTAATACAAGCGCTGAACAGTGAGTGACAGGTGTAACCAGCACAGGCAGCCTTCACACACAGCAGGGCGAGTATGGACACGACCACTAGGATGCAGCTGAGAATGGAGAAATGTCATCATTTAACCACTTTAAAGGTGGCATCATCTTTGAATGTGGATTCCAGGAGACAAGCAGCTGTTGTTATATTTAAGTAATACAAATTCATGTTTTTATTTTTAATTAAAAAAATTGGGGGGAGGGTAGGCAATTAGGTTTATTTATTTATTTAACAGAGGTACTGGGGATTGAACCCAGGACTTCGTGTGTGCTAAGCACGCGCTCTACCACTGCGCTACACCTTCCCTGCAAGCAGCTGTGGTTTTAAATAAACCCTAAAACCTGAACAGTTGCCAAGAATTTCACTAGGAATTTAGCAAGGTCATTACTGATTTGTGCATTTATCACTGAAAAGACCTTTAATGCTTTTCATGACCCTAAATGGTCCAGATGGCAGAAACCAAGGGGCCTGCCGCCTCCGGCATGGAACCTAGATCAGCAAACACAACAACAGAGGCACAGCTTCAGGGCTGGGGTGAGGAGGGACACTCCCAGGAGGGGCGGCAGGTAGGACAGGTGAGCCATGGGGGCACCTGGGGCCGGGGCACCCAAATCCCTCACCTTCATGTGAGGGCTTGACTTACAAGGTAACACTCAGCTTACAGAAATTTGTAAAACACGCTGTGGCCCTAACAAGATAATGCCTGTGAAGAAAAAGTCAAATAATCTGAAAGAAAAATGGGCCAACACATGCAGACAGTTCACAGGAGAGAATGGCCAAATGGCCAACAGATAAAGAGATGCTCAGGGAAGGGTGTAGCTCAGTGGTAGAGTGTGTGCCTGGCATGCACAAGGTCCTGCGTTCAATCCCCAGTACCTCTGCAAATGAATAAATACATACATACATACATAAACCTTAATTTCCTCCCCCTGCCAAAATGTTTTTAAAAGATGCTCAAACCGTCTAGGGAAGAGTAAGTTGCAAATGAAAGTACAATGGTGGCCTCATGGCACACCTACTGGAAAGACTGAAAAGAAACAGCGTCCGTGGCCTTGCACGGGGTGTCAGTGCCACAACCGCATGACCACACGTGATGGAAATAAACACACCCATGGTCAACAATACGGGTACAGACCCCTGACCTGGCCACACTTGGGGCCCACTAGCCTTAAAAGAGAAGCTGCATCGGATGACGTGGGCGATCCCCACTCAACGATGCTAGGTGAGGCCAACGTGCAGTAATGTGAGCCATTCGATCCCGCTTTACAAGACAAGGGCCCCATAACCTGTAAAGGGTTGTGTGAGCCTGTGGCTGACCCGGAGGGGAGGGGAGCGGAGGGGAGGAGAGACACAGTGGGGGCGAGGGATAAAAACAGCATGTGTGACACGATCCTAGCAAGTAAAACTGCATACGTCTGTGTCTGAAATCCTAAGGGCTAGGAAAAGGCCTGGAGGTTTCTAGGGCTCCCAGGCTGCCCGTTCTTGGCTTATTCACCCGAGTCCCCAGAGACTAGCACAGAATGAACGCTGATCACAATAACTCATAAAAGAAAGCTTTCACATGTAAACATTGCAATCAAGTCCCCACTGGCTGCTGGCTCACCATCCAGGGTGACAAAAGCCCCACACAACCAACCCTTTAAACCTGGACCTCAAACACCACGGTCAGTATCGGGCCATGATAAAGGGTAACTTCTCTCTAAAACAGAGCTGTCTGTTAAATGCAAGACCCACCACAGCGATAAAACAGCGAACAGCAGAGGGATGGGGCGGCCCGTCGGGCCTGTGCCTCTGCAGGACGGTGAGGGACCAGGGGCCCTGGGAGGGGGCAGGCAGGGAAGAGCCGGGTGGGACGATGCTTACACAGTTGCGTTTCTTGCATAGGAAGACTGAGTCTGAGGGACTGCAAAGCTTCTTTTCTTACACTGCCCTCAGCACTAGTCCCCTGAGACTTCCTTAGGTTGTCATGGAAACCAGCCACACCTGGCGAGGCATCAGGACCCACTGGCGGCAGAGGGTCTGGGAACTGCAGCGTTGGCCCGTTTGGACAAGGGTCCCCTTGGCTTCCTCCCTCATCCGAAGCTCTGTGTACCGTGGCACTGGCACCTGGAAAAGAGGATGTGCTGGGCCATCATGGTTTTAACAGCTACGTAAGGTCATTCCTCAGACACGCAGCTAAAACAGGGCAAAGGAGAGTCGAGATATGTGAGTGCTCTCCACACCTTAGCAATCCACTCTCTCTGAGAGAAGAGAGGGCCTCGACCCCTGTGCGCGGGTGATGTGGGACAGGCCGCCCAACCTCACAGAGCCTGACGCTCTCAGCTGTGGAATGCCCTCACCCTCCACACTACAGCTGGAGAATTTCAGTAGGAATGTCTCCTTTTCATTTAAACAAGACCAGCAAGAAATCTCATGAAAGTCTGTTCTTAAAAAATGGCAAAAAAGCCCCACAAAAAAAAAATAGATGCTTAAAATGCGGCTCACAATGTTTTTAACAGGTGCTGTTAGCAGCAGTGCTAATCCGTGTCTCCGCCTCACATTTACGGGGAACTGATTCCAGAGTTATTTCAAAGCATACGTTTATCCTCCAAAACCAGAAATTGAAGGCAAAAAGTCAGAATAGCTGATCAGAATGATGACGGCAAAGCTGAGCGTGGAACCCAGGGTCCGTGCTTCTGATGGACAAGCACCTGTGGGGGGAATCCCAAGCCCAGCAGTGGTGGCTGTAGGTGACCACACACGCCCAGCTCAGTTCCACCGGCCGACGCTATTACAAGTGGACTCGTTTACACACTAACTGAAACCTGTTTTTGCAGCAAAAGGAGACAAGGAAGAAAGCGCCCTCCCTCTGCCCCTGATGGGCTGGTTGGCAGCCCAAGAGCCCAGGGGTGCTGTGCCCTCAGCTCTCACAGGGGTCAGCCTCACCTGGATCTCAGGACATAACCAGCACGCATCCAGAAAAGTGCTTTTGTGACCAAGCAAATTTAACACGGGTTTCTGTCGGTGGAGGGGAGGTTACAGCTCAGTTGTAGAGCATGTGCTTAGCATGCACGAGGTCCTGGGTTCCATCCCCAGTCCCTCCGTCAAAAATAGATAGACAGACAGACAGACCTAATTACCCTCTCCAAATAATAAAATTAAATAAAACAAAATGAAATGTTTCTGTCACCTGAAATGTGACTCTCAACTAGCACAGCTACTCACTGTCACACCTCACAAAAAGGAAGACCAGCATAAAAGCGGGGCGCCCCAGAGACGTAGCAGCCAGGAGACTCGGGCACGGCCCTGACACAAATGGCCTGCAGCCCCACTGCTGGGGCTTGTGGTGGCAGGGGACCTGCATTTCAGATCCAAGTCCATCAGGTCAATGCCATTTCTGACGGCCTCTAGGTCTGGGAGAGTCTCTAGACCTTCTGTTCACATAACAAAGTAATTCTGTAAGCAACACAGTGCACTTTAAGCCCAATAAACAGTAAGACTTGGCTGTTTTCAAACACAAGTCTAACTGTGGATAAACAAACGATGACCCACAAACCCGGCTGGCACCACGTCCTGGGCGCTTCCCGAGTGCACCTGCAGCCCTCCCAGCTGCCCTCAGGTGCAGGACCATTCACCTTCCCGCTTCTCAAGAAGAGTGAGACTGAGATAAAGTCAGGATCTTGCCTGAGGGCTCATGGCTCGTAGAGGCAGACCCAGGAGCTGCCCCACAGCAGAACCCTTGGTCTCAGGCCAAGCCGCATCGGCCTCCCTGGCACTTAAGAAGCACTAATCAGCAAAGCCCGCGCAGGTGGTTGAGCGTTGTTTTACAAAAACAGGGATGCAATTTCTGCAAGTAAATCAAGACATACGCAGGCTCTGATTTTCAAGCCGGTGCTGACCAGGAAGGAGCAGGAGTAATTCACCTTGTGCTTCTGATGCATGAATAACCCACCAGCTAACATGCCATGTGATCCAATAATCCTCAGACCACCAGTGGACCATTTCTGGATCCCACTTTGTAAAATTTTGGCAACTAACCAACATACAGGTTGAATGTTAACAATAATGCGTCGGTGAAGACCTGCGGAAGCCTTAAGGGCAAATGATGCTGCTCTGTCCTGCTGGGGCAGAGGTGGGCTGGTTCTCACTCTATTTAACACGAATACTGCTTAGCTGAAAGGCAGCATCAACTAAGGAAAAACACTCATCTGATTACAAAGAACCCACTCTGAATGAATGAAAAAGTTCACTATGGCGTCAGACACCAAAGCCTTCCTCCAAAATGCAAGCCGACCCACGTCCTCCTGTTTAAAGGCAAAATCAGCAGCTGCAGAGTAACCGGCGACTTACGCTGGGCTTCATCCCACTGGTCCAGAGGCGCCAGGGTGCCTGGGGGCTCCGGGGGGGCCTCGGGGCGAGCTGAGGTGCCACTGCTGCACCTGTCCTCCAACAGGCCATCCTGCACTGCCCCAGCACCCTCCATGGCCAGGATGACACAGGCTGGGCTGACACTCAGGGGCTGCCAGTGAACCACTAGTGAGTTTGCTTTCTGCCATCAGCAACAGCCAAGAGCTCCTGGGATGGACCGCACTAGGCTTTCCATTTTCGGGAGAAGATTTAAAGTCTCACAAATGGCTTCAAATCACACCAAGTAATATCATGATACCTGGCAGGAGACAAAAAGAGAAAGGTGTTATGCAACTTTTATTCCGAGACCAGCATTTGCTTCACACCTAGCATCTCTTTAATAAACGTAGACTCTTCATTCAACAAATAATCCTGGGGCACCTACGATATTCTAGGTTTCATTTATTTAAAAAATATCTTCGCATGCATTTTATTTATTCTTGTTCTTCGAGGGAGTGTAATTATGTTTATTTTTTCGCATATGTGTTTTTTAGTGGAGGTACTGGGGACTGAACCCAGGACCCTGTGCATGCTAAGCACGGGCTCTACCACTGAGCTACACCCTCCTCCTGACATCCTGGATTTTGAGGATAAGTGTTGAGCTGGCCACATCTGGGCCCGTTCCTGAAGGCGCGTCTGTCCTGGGACTGGCTGAAGACAGCCCCACCAGGATAAGCAGCTCTGTAATGAGCGCTGTAATTGGGTAGGCACAGGTGGTCACTCAGCTGGGGGGGAGGCCTGAGTGACTGAGGAACTGAGTTTCTACTCACTTAAATGTAACTCACTTGCGTGTAAATAGCTGCATGTGGCCAGTGGCTTCTGTACTGGACACGCAGGCCCAAGCACTCGCCAGGGCTCACAGGGCAAGCTCCTCTCCCAGAAGACCTGAGGAGACAGTGCCCAGGCCACAGCTCCCAAGCGGAGGACAACAGGGAGGCTGCAACTGCATGGAACATGGTAGCCCGTGTGCTATAGGTGGAAGCCCGGGGACGAGAACACAGGACACGTGGGTGGAGGGCAGAGAAAGCACCTCACGGGAGGTGACTGATTCTGCCCTTCCTCTCTCACAGGATCTGCTATCTTTTCACCTGTCCTGCTAGGCTAAGCTCAAGAGAGTGAAACTTTGCCCAAAGTCTGGCAACTGTTCATTGCTTTTGCAGTGGGATGAGGATGCTATCGGCTCATTTCCTCGCCCACAGATAAGGTGCTGCTCTTACTCGTTATGCAGAAATGTCAGCATTTACTTCTTTAAGATCAGTTTTCGGGGGGAGGTATATAGCTCAGTGGTAAAGCACGTGCTTAGCATACACAAGGTCCTGGGTTCAATCCACAGTCCCTCCATCAAAAATAAACAAAACACACAAATAAATAAATAAATCTCCACACACACACACACACACACACAAAAGAAACAAGAGAAAGGGAATTAAATTTAAAAAAAAAACAAATCAAAAAAATTCAACTCCTTAAAAAAAAAAGATCAGTTTTCATATTATCTTATGTACTCTTCTGTGTCTCACAGGTTTCAGGACAGAAATTTACAGGACCTTCCTCTCCAGCTGACGAATCCTATACAGATGTTTTGGAAAACAGCCTAAATGGGAGCTGACTCTGACTCAACAGTCCGGTGCAACTGTTTTCCGACAGTCCTACTGCCCTGTCACCCAAGAGCAGGCACACCCGGGGGCCTGGGGTAACCTGGTTGCCCCGTGGTGAAGGACTAGTGATGGGAGCGTCCCTCTTGGGGACCCAGTCACGCGCGGCCAGCAGCGCTGACCGTCCACACATCCCTCTCTGCAAGCTGGCTTCACGCAGGCCAGCAACACCACGGGTTAGTGCAGTTATGAATGTGAAGAGGCAACGCCTGCTATTTCGTGTAAAACTAGCACTAAGGGTTTGTATGTGAAAGGACCGTTGAAATGTGGGAGAACCTGGCTGACTACAGTCCAACGTGGCTAACCAAAGAGCCCCAGAGCCACTCCGGCTCACGGTGCCTCACCCATGTAAATATCTGGAGACTGAAACGATATCTGAAATGAACTGAGGTCCTGAGGCCAACCGAACGTTCTCTACCTTGTTTCTGTCTCTACAGTAATCAGTAACCTCTTCCATCCACGGAAACACTTTCCCGGGTGGAGAAGGGGCAGATAAATGGGCCCTTGGAGGCCCCATGCCTGTCCTGGTACATCCCATAGGCCCCTCAGAAAATCACCATTTCACAGGGTCCCGCCTCCGCAGGAAAACCCTGTAATGTCGGTGGAGCCCACCTCTGGGCTACAAGCCCGACCCTCCCTGGGAGCGGCTGGAGCTAAGCTGATAATGCACAGAAGGTGCCCAAGAAGCAAGGCAAGGCAGTCAGCCCACGGATGGGCAGGCTATCCCCTCCTCTACCAGCTCACCACCTCAGGACAGATGATTTCAGGGGTCCTCTAGGAACAAGCGTGGTGGCAAGTGGAAGCCACTGTCCCTGCACGTGATGTACTGCACCTGCTGGCCATCCTGACATGCTCCTTAACAAAAGGAAACGTTCGCATTGTGCTTTGACATGGCTGTTTCTGCCTTGTGGGGGTTTTGGCGGGGGGCGTTGTCTAAATCACCACGGACTCCCTAAGATGCCCGAGAGGGTAACACTTAACGGGTCAGTGCTTGCCGGGCAGAAGCTGGTCCCTCTGTTGCAGGTGCCCTGTTCCCCGTGACTGCCAGGCATATTTCCATCCGTCCTTCTGCGTCTACCAAAAGGCACTGCTGTCAAGTCTTCTCTGGGCCTCAGTAAGGCACCTGGCCAACTCTGTCCTGCCATCATGGTACCCCCGCGTGCACACCATACTGCAACTGTCTGTGCCCATCTCTTCCACCATGCTGTAAGATCCCTGTGCATACCGGGGGGAAGGGGTGCGAAGGGATAAATTCGAGAGTTTGAGATCTACAAATGTTAACCACTATACATAAAAATAGATAAAAAGCAGCTGTCTGCTGTACAGCACAGGGAACTATATTCAATACCTTGTAATCTTTAATGGAAAAGAACATGGAAACGAGTATAAGCACGCATGACTGGGACACACTGCTGTACACCAGAAACTGACTCACTGCAACTGACTATACTTTAATTAAAAACTTAAAAAAAGATCCTAGGGCACAGAAGTCACCACTCCAGGTCTGCCCTGCTCCCTGGAACATCCCCTACGCAGAGTGGTGCTCAGCGCAGGCTACCGACAAATCTTTGCCTCTGCCCAGTTCCACCCCTCAGCAACCAACCGAGTGGTTCCAAAACCAAAGGATACAGATGCCTTTTCAAATACAGAAAAACTCTATTTCTACTACAAAAGGTTCAAGGGAGAGCAAAGAACACGTCTGGGAGTTATAAACTGGGAGAGAGACATGTAATGGCCACAGCCCAGATAAGCAGCGTCCCATGAGTGAGAAGGAAGAGCAGGATGGCCTGTGGGACTGGACTTCCCTATGAAATCAGAACCTGCCAACTGAAAAGGGGGACAGAGGGGCAGCCAAGGAGCCGCAGAGAATGTGGCCCCAAGGCTTGCAGTGAGAACCCCACACCTGACCCTGTGCAGGAAAGAGGGACACTGGCTGAAGGGCCAAGATGTTGGTGCCCACTGATGAAGGCAGGTGAAGGCCAGCCAAAGACAGAGAGAAATGCACCGGGCTATCTGAGCCCAACGCCGTCACACACATCACTCACCTGATTCCCTTTATTTGGATTTCTTGCTGAACAAGAAGCCTACTGATTCCCAAGCAGCTCTAACCACTCCAGAGATGGATGGTGCAGCCTAGAGAATTCAAGACCCTGTGCCTGTGACTGGTTCGGAAGACTGGTCCTATTCACATGCTGCTCCTCCCGGAGCCAGACAAGAGACAGAATTCACAGACTACCACAAGAGGCCTCTGCTGAAGGGACGCTTCTCCCTACACATGATAAACGGGCATCCTGTGCCTCTCCTCAGTCTCGTGTGAATTTTACTTAGCATGACTCAGTCATTCAGGGCCTCATTATCTCAGAATGCGGACCAAAACAAGATAAGGAGGGTCAGACAGCTGGGAGCACATCACAAGGAAGCTGTTATTAGTAAGACGCACACTATTTTGTGGTCAAAAAAAGAGAGATCAATCTGATCACAGTACCATCTGACCACCTGCATTCTGCTGTGTTTCCCGGAGGGAAGAGATGAGGCAAAGCTGTCACTTAGAACTTGGCAAAAGTGTTTGTGACTCTAGGTTCACAGCTGTCTGATGTCAAGAGACCTCGGACGGAGAAACTACCATCTCAGGCACCAATGTGACTTCTGGTTTCCTCTATCTGGTATACAAACATTAACAGCTCCACCTACCCTGCCTTATTTAAGGTGCTCCTATCAGTAGTTAGAAACAACAGAGCGTGAAAACCCCAGAAGCCTCATGTGTCCGTACAGCGGTGGAATGGAAAGCACAGACTCAGGCACCAGGCATCTTGGCTTCAGGTCCTGACTCTTTCACCTCAGCCATGAGATCACGGGCAGATGCTTTACCACACTTAGCCAGTGACCTCCTACAGTAAGATGATGAGAAAAAGAATAGAAAATTTGTGCTGGGATGAAGTGCAGCAAGGCACAGCCTCTGTCCCATGCCCTTGATAAGCAGCAGCTGGTGTATTTTCCCTGCAGCTGTTGCTTGTCAACATCGATAGGGAAAAGCCAACTGAAGTTCAAGAATGTACACTGCTTGGATAAAGAAGATATGAAGACACATATATACACACATATACAGACACATACATACAAACACACACACCTGCACGCACAACAGAATACTCAAGCCATAAAAAATGAAATTTTGCCTTTTGCGACAACATGATGGCCCTCAAGAGTATTATCCTTAGTGAAATAAATCAAAGTCAAATACTGTATGTTATCACTTATATGTGGAATCTAAAAAACAAAACAAATGAACCAATACAACAAAACAGAAACTGACTCACAGATACAGAGAACAAACTAGTGGTTACCAGAGAGGAGACAGGAAGGGGGAGGGGCAGAGGGGTGAGGCGGACTAAGAGGTACAAGCTACCAGGCACAAAATAAGTTACAAGGATGTAATGAACAGCACAGGGAATACAGCCAGTCTTTTATAATAACTTGGGATGGAGTGTAATCTATAAAAATATCAAATCACTAAGTTATATTCTGTATAGTACAGGAAACTATACTCAATATCTTGTAGTCACCTACAATGAAAAAGAACGTGAAAACAATTATATGTATGTATATGTATGACTCAAACAT